CACACATATATATAATTTAATATATATATATATATATATATTATCTTATATATATATATATATAATATATATATATATATATATATATATATATATATATATATATATATATATATAATATATATATATATATATAATGTATATATAATATAAAATATATATATATATTATATATAAATATAATATATATATATATATATATATATATATATATAATATATATATATATATAATGTATATATAATATAAAATATATATATATATATTATATATAAATATAAATATATATATATATATATATATATATATATATATATATATATATATATATATATATATATATATATATGCAGGGGCGGATCCAGCATTTTTTGGTGTTTGAGATAGCTAACTTCCAGACATGGAGCAAACTCCAAACATTTATATGTTTATACTTATATCAAATAAGGATGGTTTGCAAAAAATTGCGACGATTGGAGCCTGGGAACAAAAAAGCCCCAAAATTTGAGACGTACCTGCCCCAAACGTGAGAGCAACAAGTTGATAAAATATTTTTTGTACTATTCTCAACAAGACTTATATTTATCAATAAATTTTAAATTCCATTGTAAAATATGTTAGCGCTCAAAAATTATGACCATATAAAAATTGTAACCCCCTCGAATTGAGGGGGATTCAAACTTTACATGGTCATAATTTTTGAACACTGAAATATTTTACAATGAAATTTAAAATTTATGGATAAATGTAAGTCTTGTTGAGAATAGTACAAAAAATATTTTATCAACTTGTTGCTCTCACGTTTGGGGCAGGTACGTCTCAAATTTTGGGGCTTTTTTGTTCCCAGGCTCCAATCATCGCAATTTTTTGCAAACCATCCTTATTTGATATAAGTATAAACATATAAATGTTTGGAGTTTGCTCCATGTCTGGAAGTTAGCTATCTCAAACACCAAAAAATGCTGGATCCGCCCCTGTATATATATACAGGGGCAGATCCAGAGGGGTTCAAAGGGTGCTCCAGCACCCGCCAACATTCAACAAGTAAATTTTCCTATTTCGTTGCATTTTTTTATAAATAATAATTGAATTGTTAAAATAATTTATTCAACTAAAAATTTGCGATTTCATTTTTTGTGAAGGAAGTCGAAAATAAATAAATAATTACTTTTGTTGTTGTGTAGAACATTGCGTTCAACGCTAGCGTATTTTATAGATATTTATGCTTCGACTAGGAAACTCCCGTACAGTCGCTTTCTGATTCGCCTGCTCCCCTCAGAATTATTTTTGATAGGCCTGCACCCCTCAGAAGCTATTTTTGATTGACTTGGTTTTTTAAGCTAATCAAAACAGGTTCTGAGGGGTGCTGACCCAATCAGTAAGATCTCTGAAGGGTGCAAGCCAATCACGCAAAAATCAGAAAAAAGGTTTTTCACTAAGCTTTTGGTTAACTCATAGGTTAAGTGCTCTAAACAAGGCGGATTCAATGCGTCAAATTATTTTAGATGAAAATAGGGTTCAATCAGAAAAGAAATTGTTTTTATCTAATGTTATTGTCGAAGCTCATAATAAGATTAGAGAAATATTTTTGTTTAATGAAAAATCTAGACTAAGTATATTGCATAAAATATGCAAAATTTCAAGTATACAATTTCCCGTATCTCAATTATTTCGAGCAGAAAGTGTTTTTTAACCAGTTAGGTAATAAGTTATTTATTAAATAATTATATTAAATTAAAAATAAAAAAACAAACGAAGTATTTATGTATGTGTGTGTTGTGTTGATTAATGGTTAAAAAAAAAGCAAATTTAGAAATAATGTATAGGCTACAAAAAGCTATACTATAGTTTTTTGTGCTCAAACATTCTACTACAAACTTTTTTATTTAAGCTGAAGGATGTGTAAAATTTTGTTCTAGGTGCTTAAATTTAAAAAACTTTTTTTTTTAGTAAAACTGTGTACATGCTTAAGTATATATACTTAAGCATGAACACAATTTTACTAAAAAAAAAAGTTTATAAAAAAGTATATAATATATTTATATCACATTTCTAGAGGAAAATAATCAATTATGTTATAATTTATTTTATGTCTGAATAATACCAAAATTACATATAGTAAATGATTTACTAGTAAGTTATTTTATGATATAAAATTATGTAATAGTTATTTTGTGACGTAACATAAATTATGTTGCTTTGCTTATGTTAATTTTTTTTTTTTATTATTAGAACATCTCCAAACAGAAACTGTTTATTTAATCTTTGTTCTATATCATTAATTGGCAACGAATGTTTGTCAGAATACCTTAGATGCCTGACCAGTATCGAATTATATACAAATGTAGATTTTTATTCAAACCATCCAATTATTTTTTCTCAAACTGATGTTACCAAATCTTGAAGAATTGATGAAAACACAGCTTTTTCTATTATTATTTTCCAAAAAGCATACAATTTCTTCTGTAAAAATAATAGAACACTAAGTGTCATATCAGAATCTATCAATATTGCAACAAATTATTCTTATTCCTTTTTTCTTATTTTGTGTGCTCTCTCAAGTGTTGTTTGAATACCAATTGAATCATTATCCTATAGAAAAAGATAGAAAAGAAATAGAAAAAACTGTTTATGAAATATTTTTCAATTGCATTATTAGACCACGTGTTGAACATTCTTTAAGCACATCTGTAAAAAAAAATACACATTCTTTGGTTATTGCAGGTTTTAAACAGACCCCTCATATATTTGTAAACCAAGATCACTTTGTTACTTTAATATCTTTGAAATTTATTGCTAAAAAATACCAAGTTCCAAATATTTTTGCACCTAAAGTAGTAAAATTACCTGAAAATGATCAACTTACTTCTTCAAAATCTAGTATCCTGTTTCCTGATTTTACTCAGGAAACAGATATTTTAGATACAGTTAAAACTCTTTCCACTTTAAAAAAAAAATAACAAATCACAATTGATCAATTTACTACTAAGTCACCTTTTCCTACAGACAAAAAAAATTGTGTTGTATCTTCGCTAATCAAATTAAAAAGTTCTTCCACACTATCGATTGCAGAATGTTATTCAAGATTATCCATTCACCGAGTAAGGCAAATTTAAAGTAGTTCTTCTGCTTTTGGAAATAAATGTGAACTATCCTTTGTAAACAAATACGTTATCGGGCTCTATGAAACTTATAGAATTAATAAACTAGACATTGAAGATAAGTATGATTTACTAAAAAATGTTTATAAACCAAGCTCTAGTTTTCATTTTGAATCCAATAAATCAGGTCGTTCCTTTCAATTCACTCTTGGCTTGCATATTCAGAAATTAAAAAAGGTGCTTATTGTGTTATTTTTGGATTTGAAGAATCAATTCAGATCCAAAAAGTTAATGCAAGTAAACTTGTTTAGCTTTATAAATCTCTATTTGTGGCATATTCAAGTTTAATAAACATGCTGAAAGTTCACCAAGTCACCAAACTGCAACTCTAAAGGCAACCCATTTTTGCCAATGTATGGAGCAAAAGATAAATTTTATTTACTTGAATCTCAACAAAGTAAGAAGAACAAGTCAAGAAAAATAGAGAAATATTAAAACCAATAGTTCTGGCAATTATTATGAGTGGAAAACAAAACATACCTCTTCAAGGTCACAAAGACAATTCATTTTACTATGAGAATGAAAATAGTAACTCTGGCAATCTTCAATCAATTTTGAAATTAATATCTGATTGTGCAGAAAACAGTTTGGTGAATGGGCGAATTGCTACTCCAAAAAATGATACACATCGCTTTAAAACTACGCAAATTGAGTTGATTAATATTTGTAATTACATTATAGTTTCTAAATTAAAATGCGAAGTTAAAAAAGCTAAATTTTTTTCAATATTAGCAGATGAAGCATCTGATGTTAGCAATATGGAACAAAAGCCACATGTATTATGCTTTGTAAATGATAATTGTGAAATTTGTGAACTATTTTTTGGTTTTATTCCTTGCGACTCAGGCTTGTCTGGAGAAGCTATAGGCAGCCAAATTTTGAATAGTATTAAAGATTTGGGATTAGAAATGAAATTTTGTGTTGGTCAAGGTTATGACGGTGCTGGTAACATGGCTGGGAACTGTTCCGGTGCTGCAGTAAGAATAAAAGCTATTTATCCAAAAGCATTATATGTTCATTGTGGATCTCATGTCCTCAATCTTTGTGTTGCAAATGCCTGTAACATACAGATAGTAAGCAATATGATGTCAAATGTTCGTGTTATATCTCAGTTCTTTAATTTTAGTCCAAAGCCTTTTGATGTTCTGAAAAAAAAAATGGAAGAAATGTTTTCAAAAGCTCATCACTCTCGTTTAATAGATGTATGTCGTACAAGATGGATTGCCAGAATTGATGGTTTAGATGTGTTTATAGAGGTACTTCCTGCTATAATTAAATGCTTTGAGCTAATGATTAATAACGATGAAAAGTCTTGGAATCATGACTCAGTGCGTGATGAAAATAGTTATTTCTTTGCTACTAGATCTTTTCAGTTTCTTGTTACTTTAGTAGTGGTGTCTCGCTGTTTGGAAGTAACAAGACCAATTACAAAACAATTTCAATCTCCAAACTTTGATGTTTTTGCATCGCATGAAAAAATAAATTTGTTACATCTTGCTTTACAGCGACTAAGATCAGACATTGAACACAGTCATGGTGCTTGGTATAGTGAGGCAGTTGTATTGGCAGCTAGTGTTGGTGTTTATGAGCACAAGCCTCGTACAATAGGAAAACAGCTTAATCGAAATAATTGTCCTAGTGAATCTATTAATGAGTATTACAAGAAAGTCATTACAATTCCTTTTCTTGACCATTTATCATCCCAGATTCAATTACGTTTTTCTAATAAAAACATTGCTGTTTATAATGGATTCTTTGCAATGCCAACTAACGTTTTAAATGTTGCTGAATGGAGAAGCAACTTTCTTCTTTTTTCAAATGAGTATGAGGATGAACTTCCGGAACCACGGTATATCATGACCGAATTGAACATGTGGGATGATTATTGGCGTAGCTTTAAAAATTCCCTTCCTACTACTCTGACCAAACTCCTTCCTCTTATTGATAGAATAACTTTTCCTAATATATTTACCTTAATTTAAATTCTTGCAACTATTCCAGTAACAACATGTACTTGCGAAAGATCAATCTCTGTTATTCGTCGTTTAAAAACCTATCTACGTAACACAATGTCACAGAATAGATTTAATAGTCTTGCTTTGATGCACGTTCACCAAGATATCAGCATCGATGTAAATGAAGTGATTGATTGTTTTGCTAGGAAAAATCCTCGTAGAATGAAACTTGTAGATATTTTATATTCTGATCCAATTTAAACTGTTTTATTTAATAATATGATATAAATATATTATTTACTGTTTTATATATTTTATTGAGTAATTTAAATAGTGATCCTAGAAAGTTCTGAAAGTTCTAGAAAGTTTTTTTTGTATTTTTTAAGCATGAAATTATACTTCAAAAAATATATACAGTAGAATCTTGTTAAGTCTGATTCTCAAGGGAAATAGATAAATAATCAGACTTGGCGAATGTCAGAGTTAGGGGAAGCTCTCGTTATGTATAGAAAGCTCAATAGGAATTGAAAATCTGACTTAGTAAAAGTTTGAGTTATCAGACATAATTATAAAGTTTTCATTATTAATAAATTAGCATTATTGATAGTTATAATTATAGTTTAATTATAATTAAAGTTAAATTATAACTGGATTTAAAAATAAGTCTGTTCTTACATTTTTATTTATATTTTTGGGGAAATCCTTGGAAAATAAATGGCTCCAGAATATCATGAAACTCAGAATATTTATTTTATTACTGTTACATAATTTTGTTTATAAACAGTGTTATATAATGTTATTAAATCTATTCACTATTATTGATGTATTTAGTGTAAGAGTTTATTATTATTGTTATTATTTTTGTTATAATTTATAAATAATTATCGTGTATAATTATATATTTTATATATCATAGTATTAATTATTTTTAATAGTGAGTTTTAATACAATTGTGTTATAATTGCAATATAATGTGCATGACACAGGTGTTTTTAGAAGTTAAACTAGATGGTTACTTGTTTTATTTTCAAGTTTCTGTTTAAAGATCATATTAGAAGCAAATTTTGAGTTCCATTGAAACTAGATTTTTATTAACAGTTTTTTTTATCAGTTCTTCATTTTGTAACTATTTTACTATTTTATTTTAGTTTTCCTACTGTTGAAATATGGTTTTAATTTAGTAAAGTTTCATGATTTGAAATTTACTTTATTGGTCATAAGCTAACAGTTTAGAAAAGGAAATTTAGCACAGTTAGGGTAAGAAATTTGTTTACTTTTAACATTTCAAAACTGGGTTTTACTGTTCAATTCTTATGCTATTCCTAGTTTATGTTAAATGTCATACGAATAATAAACAAATTGTGTGTTCATTGTTTGGGGTCATGAAATTATTGTATCATTATTGATTGATTCTTTATATAACGGTTGATCACTGCCAATATATAGTTGCTGCATTACTTTGCATACAAAATATTTTTATGTACACAAATTTACTTTCGCACTGTACTCTAATAAATAGGAGGGTCGGAAATTTTTCTAAATTATAATAAACGGGGAAGAGTGAGTTTCTTAATAAACCAAAGGGTCGGAAATTTAAAAAGCTTAAAATAGTTTTTTTGGTTGGTTATTCATATTTTCATCTATTATTGAGAGAAATATTTTTCTCAAAGTAAAAAAATAGCAAAAATATTTTATATTGTTTCAAATTAATAATCAAGGGGGGGGGGGGCGGGATTGAGATCCTAATAAGCTCCGGGAGGTCGGAAAAAAATTCTCTTCCCCGTACTTTATAAAAACTTTTTTTACAACCAACCCCTTTCATGCAACGCAAAGCGCGGGGGGGGGGGGGGGTAATGAAAACACCCCCTCATCGTCGCAGCACAACACATATTTGCCAGCACCCCTCAAAAAAAAAGCTAGATCCGCCCCTGATATATATAAATATATGTATATATATAAAAAAAAATTTCAAACATAAACAAAACAATAAACAGATGTAGTTTTCCTTTAATATCTTATCTAAATTCTTTTGAATTGTCTTTAGATGAATTTGATAGAGCTTTTAAAATGCTAAAGTTAAATAAAGCAGTCGGTCCTGATGATATCAATGGAAACATTGTCATTGATTCATATGATATCATAAAAAATATCCTTTTTAAAATATTTAAATGCTCAATTCAACAAGGAATTTTTCCTGATGAATTAAAAATAGCTAGAGTTTCACCAATATTTAAAGGTGGAGACTTACTTAATGTTAGTAATTACCGCCCAATATCTGTTCTCTCTGTTTTCTCAAAGATTATAGAGAGAATTCTTTATAATAAAATTTTTAATCATCTTTCTCAAAATAATATCCTATACAAAAATCAATATGGGTTTAAAAAAAATAACTCCACTGAACACGCTATACTCCAAATAACACAATATATTACTGAATCATTTGAAAGTTCCAAATTTACTTTAGGCATTTTTATTGAGTTGTCTAAAGCCTTTGATACGATAGATCATAAAATTCTCTTTAAAAAACTTAAATATTATGGAATCTCTGGCAATGTTTTGAAGCTTTTAAAAAGTTATTTAAGTAATAGAAAGCAATTTGTTCACTATGACGTATCATCAAAATCAAACTTGTTAGATGTAACATGCGGAGTTCCTCAAGGGTCTGTCCTAGGACCTCTCCTATTTCTGTAATTGTATTTATGTAATATTGTGTAAGGAAAACTAAATTAGAACCACTTTATCGCCAACAGAAACATGTTGCACGACTTATTAATTTTAAACATCGATTTTATCATGCTAAGCCTCTTTTAAACGAAATGAATATTCTTAATATATATCAACTTAATATTTTTAATGTATTGTGTTTTATGTTTAAATGTAAGTCTCGCACATCTCCAATTTCTTTTCACAATTTATATTCTTTAAAAGTTAAAAATAAATACAATTTGCGTAATGAAAATTTTATTCTTCAACCAGTTTTCAAAACTAATTTTGGTAAATTTTGTATTTCATTTAGAGGAGCATTTTTATGGAACAAAATAGTGTTAAAACTTTTTGATCTCTCTCTTGAATGGAATTTTTCTTATTTAAAAGAAAATTAAAAGAAATTCTTTTCTCAGTTGAAAAAATTCTGATATATTTTTAAGTTTGTTTTGTTTTTTATTAATACTCTTAAGAAATATTTTATTGTAATTTATATATACGAAATCTTTTATCTTAACTTATATATATATGTATGTATATGTATGTGTGTGTGTGTGTATATGTGTATGTATATATGTGTATATGTATGTATGTATGTATATATATATGTATATATGTATATATGGATATATGTATATATATATGTATGTGTGTATGTATATTTATGCATGTACGTATATATGTATGTGTATTTGTGCGTATTATATGTATGTGTATATATATATATATTGATATGTAAGTATATTTATTTACATGTTTGTATGTTTAAATATGTATAAATAATTATATTTGTATTTATGTGTGAATATTTGTCTATGAATTATTAAAGGATTATTTATTATTTAAAAACTGTTTAGGCGGTTCTCGATGACAAGATCTTATGATCTTCTGCGAGTATCCGCGTTCTTGTTGTAACGTTAACAAAATTGTAATTCTGACTATACGTATTTTATTCATTCTTATATTGTAAAACTTATTTTGAATAAACAAAAAGAACAGAAAAAAAAAAAAAAAAAAAAAAAAAAAAAAAAATATATATATATATATATATATATATATATATATATGCGTGTATATATATGCGTGTGTGTGCGTGTGATTTACATTTAAAATTAATAGTTGAGAAACGTTTTGTATGGCTGGTAAATAAACATTGTCATTATAACTATTTTTAACACGGTCTGACTCCATATCATTTTAAGATAAAACATCAGAATACTGTACAGTCTCGATTCTAACTTTCTTTGATTTGATTTGCTTTCTTGATACTTCTTTTCTACCTGAACCTATTTGCATTTAATTTTTAGAACCAACTTAATCCCTCTCCGACTTTAAAAAATATAAGTTTAATATTTTTATTTTCTTAAGAACATTTTCAAAGAACATGAAAAACTAGGTAGCAGCCATTACAATCGGATTCTTTGCGTAATTTTATTAAACATTTACTCCTAATAGGCGTAAATGTTCTAGCTAGTTGACATAGCTACGTCAAACAGTTTATCTAAGATCAATTTATGATCAGAAAGTTGCTTAGATGTTGCCCTACCTAATGCCAGGTTATATGCTTTTCCAGTCATATACGATTTTTCTTTTTCTCTTTTATCAGAGATAAAAAGGTATAAGTGGATATGCTTCTTACTGAGGTCCTCAATTTTCAGAAGTTTACCTTAAATCTTTGTCATTTTCTACAATCATTCTAAGAAAGAGACCATTTAAAAACATCCTAAAACATCTTTTAAAGTTGGTAGTTGAAACTTTAGATAGTGATAATGGTTTTTTATGTTTAATATTTTTGGTTACTTTGGTCATGGTTTAAGTTAAAGAGACTGTTAATACTCTGATATTTCACAGCTGTTGATGGAATCAGCCTCTCTGAGAGCTACCGCAGAGTTCAGGACACCTTAGTGATAAGTCAAACAACAACTAAATAATATGTTTTTTTCCAGCTCGAACTTTTTTTATACTCTTAACAAAATATATATCTAAAAGATTTGCCAGCGGCACGGAGGAGCGCTGTAGCGAGAAAAAATCATCCCCCTCAGATTTTAAACACTTTTTTCTATTTACTACTTTGTCGTAGTCAATAATACAAATATAATAACAAAAACAAAATAATAATATAAGAAAAGTCATTTTATTAAATTTGACCTAAGATACTTCTATGTAACAGTAGCGACTCCTCACCGCGAAC